TTAACATCACCTTCTAGGATTTTTTGAAGGGGGGGGAGGGGGGAGGAATGAAATGAACAAATAAAATGAACAATCGATTTTTAGAGTTGTAAATCTATTATAACAAGTTAACTTTTGGTTAAAATTTAGTCTATGGGTTTTAGTTGAGTTGCTTAAAGTTAATTATCTAGTTAATATTAATATTTTTTATCTTGAGTGAGAAGAGAATACAAATTTTATTATGCAGAATATTAAAGTTGGTTTTCAGATTATCCTAAAATAATAATAATTGTTTTCAGATGTCCTAAAATTCCTAAATTGTCTCAAATTATCCTAAATTGTACTAATGCGCACTAATGATTGATGTAAATGCACTTTGGAACATACTTTGTTCAAGCTGCATATCTACAAAGTTTATTATATTGATTAAATTGGTAACAGTAAAGCAAGTTATGTTACTGTATATTTCAGTCATGGGTGATGATGGAATAATTATGGTTGGTCATTAATTTAAAAAAGAAATCGGCATTAAATAGAATAAATACAACACAAAACATTCGAATATTATCAAATTTTGATATAATTTAAACTTTACAAAGATAACACGATAATTGATAGTCGTCTAACTATAATTTGATTTTTATTTTAATTCCGCTAGTATCAATACAAAATAAATTTTTTGCGCATATCAGATTATAAAGTTTATCTAGAATCAAATTTAGGTGGGTACTGAGTGAAGAACAGGTATTGTATTTGGAGATATTAAAATTAGTAAATCAATATACTGTGCATAGTTATATTTATTCTATAATATCCAAATCTTAATTATGGAGGTATTTTGTTTTGAGAATACTGTCAACGATGACCTATTTTAATTAATCTCTGATTCCTCACTTCCCCATTTCTCAGATAATTATTTCAAAATCAAGACCATTTTACATAATTGTAAAAAAATAAATAATCGCCTATCACTGATTATTTCAATTAACATAATTTAGGGTTTGAAATGAAATAATTGACATTTTGAATTCAATGTTCACATTGCTAATTGACTAGTTAATTTTTCAAAATGAAGAAATAAAATATGGCTTTTATTTGCTTTAATTTTAATAGTAGTTAAGTAAAAAATTTGTGGTTATTATGTGCCAATAAGGATATAAGTCATGTATTTGCTTTACCAATAAAGTTTTCTTTTTTCGAATACAAAGTTTTGTTTTAAAAGCTGTCCTAATTATTTGTCCAAAAATCCTAAAATCTGAAAAACCCTTCCTGCCCACTTTACAGAATATATAAGTTAATTTATAATATATTAATAGTTATTTAATTTTTAAAAGAATAATTAAACAATAAAATCAAAATTTTAATTTTAATTTATTTTGCCAATTATCGATTGCCACTTTATTTGCCATTTTTTTAAAAAAGCATAAAAACTTAGATATATAAATACTTAAAATTTTATCATAATTATATAAATTTCAAGCATATAAATAAAACATAAAATATTTAACTATATTTAAAAATGTATTTTGCATATAAAATTTAAGCATAATTTTTTTTAAAAAAAATAAATCATTAAGCTTATATTCTATTGAATATTATAATCTTAATAAGTTTTTTTTTTTTTAAATGATTTAGGAGATCGAGTTTCCCAGTTTTTTCCTTCGATTTGACACAATGCACAAAGTGGATAAATTAATTTCCAATTTTCTTGTATTTCAGAAGGAATTTCGAGTAATTCATCTTCTGAGCCACACCAAAAACATAAATCTACATCTTTAAGTCTACAAGAATAGTAATTATGCTCAATTGGTGAATTGCAAGTTAAGTTAAGACGTATATAAAGAGTATTAGCAAGAAAATGATCATCTGAAACAATTGGTGATCTACAACTATATATAATATTATCAAAATGTTGAGTAATAGCTTCCATTTCAATATCATTTAATATAGTTTTAGAATATATGCAACGATACTTTCCACAAAAGTCACAAGCAACTAACAATCGAATAAAATTATTTACAAAAATTCCTGCAGAAGTTTCTTCAGATTTTAATTTTTTAATTGAAGGTTTAAATTGCTCTGTTGTTTCTTGTTGATATATATCATCAAATTCTTTATAATGTTGGTTATCTAATAAAAATAATATAATTAATTATTAATATTTAATTAATTATAAAATATTAAATAGTAAAAAACATTTTGTTGCTTTTAATCAAAGCTACAATTTTGTTAAAACAGATGTTTTATTTTCTTATCTTATAATTTATCTGATGACATTTCTGGATCTGGAAGAAATGTTAATAATTCAAATTCATTATCTGGCATTCTAATTGGTTTACAGAAACAACAATCTAAATTTCTACATTTTTTGATTTGAAATATATATGATCTAATTTGACAATGAGTATTAAGAAATTCTTGATATAATTGTTGTTTTTTAAGAGCATTATTAGTAGTTATAAATTTTTTAAAAGTAGGATCAATTGTTAAAATATTCTATAGATTTTTAATTAATAAAATTTAAGTTAAATATTAATTAAATAAAATTTAAAGTTCTACTATAGTAAATTTTAATAATATTATATACTTACATTAAACAATTCATCAATATCAGAATTTGTAGCAGGACTTCTAGTTATAAAAGTATTATCATGAAGTTTTAAATATTCTGTTCGAATATTTAAAAGTGTTTGAATATTTGAAATTGAATTTTGTAATTTATTTTTTAAACTAGATAAATTTTCAGCCTCATTGCGAATTTCTTCTAAAGTTTTAAGGGAAGCAAAAGTTTCTTCAGATAAACTACTCATAGAATCTCGTTGTAAAGAAACATTTTGTAATGAAAGATTTAAAATTGACATTATTCTTTCAGCTGGATTAGTCCAACTATAATAAGGTGCTGTACGTGCTGCTATTAACATATCAAAATTTCCTTGTAAAAATAAACAAATAAGTGAAATCTGAACTGATCCATAAGTACATCTATGATCTGGCCCACCATCAGTATATAGAGCTAAAATTTCAGATAAATCTTCATTATAATAATCATTTAAAATTTGATAAAATTCAGTGGCATGTCTAAGTGCTGTACTAGGTTGAAATATAGTATCTTTGTATATTACATATACCTGACCATTATAAAATGACTCTATTGGATCATCAGGTATTGTAGCTATAATTATTACAGATGGTGTTAAAGATAATTTAGTAAAATCATGATCATTAGCTACTAATGTTGCATTTGCAGAAATAGATGAATAATGATTGCGTACACCAGTTGAAGTTGAAGTATCTTCTCCTATAGGAATTTTATGTTTATCATCAGCAAAAATTAATCCAAGATTATTTTTAAATTTTACTGAAAAATGGCGAAGATATTTAAAAATTGCTCTGCAATAATGACTATCAGGATGTGATTTTCGTAAAAGACGTGCTTGAACTTTATATTTAATTTCAAATTGATCTACATATTCAGTACTAGCTTTAGCCCAAGGATTTTTAGGAAGAAATTGATAACTAATCCATCTTTCAGAAGGAATTGCAATATTATCAAAATCTGCTATATTAGACAACTTATTTTTAATTCGAGTAATAATTTGATCTTTAAGATTACGTACAGAAATAAATGATGGCATATAAAGTATTGATCCATATCTACGATCTTGAACTGCTGGAGTATTCTATTATAAATAAATTTATTAAAAATTTATATTTGTAAGTTATAGTAAAAAAAATTGTAAATTAATTTTTATTAAATTTAATATAATAAATTAAAGTAAAATTAGATTAAAATAAAATTTTATATAACTAAATCTTTTAAATTTTATTTTAATTAATTTTATTATAATTTATAATATTTAATAAATTAATTTTTAAATATTACCTCTTCAAAATATAATTTTAGTTCATCCCAAAAAATATCAAATTTGGTACCTTTAAAGCCATTATTAATTCTTAAATCTACTAAAATATCTGAGTCTCCAATTTCAAGCATTAATCTAAGACGTTCATCTAATTCTCTAGATTGAGAATTTTCTGGTGCACTAATATCTCCTGTTAAATCATGTTGCAATAATGATAAAACATGGGGTGTAATTTTACTTAATAAGGAATACTATTAAAATAATTAAAAAATTAATATATATTAAACTATAAATTTACACTTTACTAAAACGCACCTATGGTGTTTTACTATCTAGATCCCTATTTCTCAAAAGCATACTAAGTAAATGGGATCAGATACTCTAAGTAAAAATGTTCAGAACCTCCAAAACATTACAAAAACCAAGATAGGCTTATATTAGCTCTATATTATAATATATAAAAAAAATAATTCTTAATACCCGAACCCTAACCCTAAATTTTATTAAATACAATTATATATAGTAGTAAAACACCATAGATGTGTTTTATAATAATTGATAAATTTATATAAATTAATTTATAAATTTACCTTTGCAAATATATTTTTACGCATTGCTCTAGTAAAATATTTTGGTAACTTATTTTGAATACTAATAATAGCTTGTGCTTGCAAATTTTCAGATCTTATATTTGGATCAGTTGGTATTCGCCATATAAAATTTAAGGTTCCAAGATAGTTTCCATGATAATATCTATATAACATTATAGTAGTATCTAAAGCTAAATTGGTAATAAATTTATATCTTTGATTACAATTCAATGGTAAATATTCATCAATTGAAATAACTTCATAATCATTTAAATTTTTTACAATAGTTGCTAATTCGTGATATTGTTTTTTAACTTCACTTAAATAACATTCTAATTTTAATTCAATAGTACTATTATCTATTGGATTACGGGCAGAATTCATTGCATTTCTAGTTATTGTAACACTTTGATTAA